AGCAAGGCTGTGGGAGCCACCCCTGCCCACAGCGCTGTGCTGGGGAAGCGGGCGAAGACCCCGAGAGCAGCTGCTTCCAGGCGTCAACACTGGGCGGGACTTCCCAGGCTCTCAATTGTCTCCATCTGCCCCCAAACCCGTGTTAGATGCCCACTGTACAGAGGAGAAGACTGAGGGGTGACAGGGGAAAGAGCTCCCCAAAGCCACCCCACGCCAAGTGACAGGGACCAGGACGCCTGGTGTCCTAACAAGCCCACCTAAGCCTCCTCCACCGCCGAAAGGAAAAATGCTCCAAACAGAGCACATAGCAGGTTTCTGTGGAAGATCGTGACTTGGCGCCACGTGAGCGGCTGGGGAAGGAAAAGCCGCACCGCCCACTTCATTCAGAGAACACTCAGACACCCTCCCACGTGTCAGCGATAAACAGACTTTCCTGAGCTCCACTCTGACTGGCACAGAGGTGACGGGTGTTTTAACGGGTGCGCAACGGAGGGGGACGGCGGGGGCTCAGGAGTCTGAAATGAAAGTTTAAAAAGGGCCGGTGAGCTTCAGTGTGGTTGGGCCCATGTCAGCCAGCTGGATGGATGGAAGCCAGGCTCACACGGGAGTGGAGGCAGAGGCCCGCCCTCCTGACACTGCATCTCTCTATATATTTTCTGTTAAGAATAGTTTATTGATTTTGAGAGAGAGGGAGGGAGAGAAGAAAGAGAAGCATCCATGTGAGAGCACATCGATGGGCTGCCTGCTGCTCACACCCCTGCGGGGTCAAGCCCGCAACCTGGGCCTGAGCCTGACCATGAACTGAACTGGCGACCCCCTGGTGCGCGGGATGACGCCGGAGAACGGAGCCACAGGACCAGGGCAGACAACAACATTTCAAAGGACAGGATGGCACCCAGGTCCTTGAGAGCAACACTCCTGAGCTGCTGGCCACACATGCCCGTCCCGGGCAGAGGGGGTTCCCAGGGGCAGCCCCTGTCAGTAAGCCTCTGAGAGGCGCTCAGGGCCCGGCTCAGAGGTTGGCTGGCCAGTCCCTTCTCCTGGCAGCCTTCCGCTTCTCCCGCAGGCATTTCAGGGGCTGGGGCCGGCCTAGGGGCGCCCACTCGCTTACAGAGGGAGATGGAGGGAGTCTGTAGACAGAGTCAGGG